GTGAAGGCTCGGAAAACGATAAAATTCGGGGGGGAAACGGTTTCCCCCCGTTTTTTTTTCCTGAAGCCTTTTTGGTTTTTTCCCGAAAAATTGGAAAAATAAAAGAAAAGAAAAAAAATTGATTATGGAATGTTTTATTTTAACATGATGAATAAAATATTTTAAGACCAGGTGCTCAAATATTTTCCAAATCATTTCTAATATATATATATATGGTATCAGATTGATGTAATTTCTGTGCACTGAGGACAAGCAAATCCTAGGTTACAAACTGAACTCTTCAATGCAAGAACAAGATGCATTTCTTCCTTTAGGAGGTGCGATTGTCAGAAGAAAATAAAAAAGTTTCAGTTTTGTTTTTGCATGTGGGTGGGTATTCTGTAATAATTGTTTGGATACACTATATTTTTAATATGCTAGTTGTGATAATTTCATGCCAAATAAAAATGTCCATAGTCATATTTTATGTCCCTAAAGTAACAGAATGACTTTCAAACTAGAAAGGACAAAAGAAATGCTAATGTAGCATTTTTTTCAAATTTTCTGAAAATTTCCGTTTTTTTCTGAAAAAAACCCGGGCTTTTTCCCGAGCTTCAAAATTTCCAGAAATTTTACATCTCTACTCCAGTACACCTTAGAGACCAACAAGATTGTTGGACTGTAAACTCCCTTTGTCAGATACTAGTAGGAATGGAGATCCCCGAGCCCTGATTATCTCCCAGTCAGAAGGTGGGAGGGGTGTTGCAGAGGAGGGAGTCGGGATGCAAAGGTACCATGCAAATTGTGATCAGCTTGGTTGGAGCAGAGGAGGAATGCTTAGGGGCAGAAAATTAGCATATGTAGAGAGATAAGAATCCTGTGTTCCTATTCAGCCCTGGTTCAGTCCATTGTTCTGAATTTGTGAATTAACTCAACTTCGGGGTTGTTGTGAGGATAAAATGGAGAAGGGGAAAAAGCTGTAAGCAGTGTTCCCTCTAAGCTCCACAGTGTTGTAAGTAGAAAATTCTACCTTGTGAGCGAAAAAAGCTAGTAGTATTAAAGTTGTGACCAAGTATACATTTGACTAAATTATATCATGTAAAAATCTCAGAATGAATTCTTTTAAACTGTATTTAAACCGTATTTCAAGAAAAATTTAAACATCGTAAAAGAAAACAGAATCAAGTCAAATTTCGTTACACAAAAATGTTGTCCTTTACTGAGGTGGGTAGACTTGTTCTCCATAGGGCAGGTCTACCCACCCCAGTCCATTGTATTGGTAGACCTGGCCTCCAGAGAACAAGCTACCCACCCCAGTCCACCATCTTTGTAGACCTGAGCTTGGACCGTTGCTATGATTATATTGTAGCTAACCAGGAGGGTAAATAATGTTTCCAGCCATAGCTTTTAAGTTTTGAGGGGTGTGAAACATGCTGTAGCTGAATGATCCCTTTTTTAAATGATGTGGACCATGTATGTAACTAGTAGGGGTGGAAGAAACAAGCCATGTCAGTCCCCTAAAACTTTTAAATAGCATATTATTGAATTCAGGGGAGGGCAGATTTCATTTCTGGGAGCTACTTCATTTTTTTTCAAGAGCCTTGGGACCTACCAATGGCAAAATGGTGGCTAGCCCAAAAACTGCAGTGCTTCAGAGTAGGTCTGCAGCACTCGGGTCTGAAACTCTTT